GTTGTGTGTGTGCGTGTGTATATATATATATATATATATATATATTTGCTCAAATAGCCAAAGCAAAATACTCCACGAGAGTGCTTTCATGACTTTAAAAAAGAGCAAAAAATGAATAAATAAAAAATAGAGAGAGACTGATAATGACAATCAGAAGAGAGAATGAATTTACCGTCACTTCCAGCCACTGTATTAGAAACACTCTCACAGCAGTGTTAACTGGTTTTTAATTTGATGCAGGTATATTGAAATTTGAAGGTAATATAAGTTGTATATAATATATGTTCCTCTTCATCCAACAGCCAATAAACAGTTAGCTCTAAATGTCTGACACAGTGAGCCCGTTAGAGAAGCAGAAATACGTGCCCTTAATTCATCCTTCAGGCTATAATAAAGTCCCACTGTGTACAAAAGGTATTTTCTACCACCTTATTAAATTTATGTATTAACTCTAGATTTGAAATGTCAGTAATTCTGAGCATAATGAGTTTAGATGCTCATTCTCAGTGTTTTGAGAAGGTCTTGGTAACCTTTAATGCAGATAAAGACAGTCTGCGGTCACAGAACCCTGAAGAGAGAAGATCATATTTAAACACCAGTGATAAGTATGACCAGCATATAACACAGCCCGGGAAATGAAATGGCTGGAGTAATTTAGTTAGTGCAAACACAGGATCAGCATCACTAGGCTTAGCTTTGAAGCCATCAGGTTTGGCAAAAGCAATCATGTGGAGGTAAAATGATAAGAAGACAGGTTTAATTAAATGTGAGATCAGTAATCAACAAAAAAAAGATCAGTGTTTGATGTCAGTCTGTGATGTAATGGCAAACAACTGTCCAATGTGATGCTTACATGCAATATATTACATTTCCAATGGGTTTTTAGTGTAGCTGTTTTCGATTTATGAGTATGTTAAAGGAATAGTTCACCCAAAAATGAAAATTTGCTGGAAATGTATTCACCATCAGGCCATCCAAGATGTAGATGAGCTTGTTTCTTCATGGGAACAGATTTGGAGAAATTAAGCATTACATCACTTGCTCACCAATGGATCCTCGCGACTCCAGTCCATCAGTTAACGTCTTGAGAAGTAAAAAAAGAAAAAGCATTGTAGTTAGCAAGGCTTGTTTGTAATAAACAAATCCATTTTTAACTCTAGCTAAAATATGAGTCCACTATCCATAATATTGCTTTCTCTGGTGAAAAAGTCGTTTCGTCTGAACCAGGAGAGAAATATGCACAGATCAAGCACCGTTTACAATCGCAAACAATCCAAATCCCTTGTTCTGAACAAATATGTCGGTGGATTTTAGATGTGAGAGGACAACAGGAAATTG